GTCCAGGCAGCTCATGCCAAGCCACTGCAGCCCGTCTGTCCACTGTGCAGCAGGGTGTCACAAGATGTCCTGCATGAGGATAACGGTGAAGATTGCAACAACCCCCAGGAGGCACCTCAGCCTTTGCCGTTGCCACAGGGAGGGACGAGGTGCAACCCCACCATCCCCAAGCAGATGGGTCACTTTGTGATTGGCCAAGGGAGATGTGGCCGTGGGAATAAGCATGTTTCGCTCACCAGCAGTGGTATAAAACCAGGGTGTTTTGAGCAAAGTGGTGTTTACTGAGACCAAGGGCATCTGGATGCAAGTGATTCCTGGTGTTTTTGTTGCTGCCTGAAGACCAAGACCTTCCCTCATCAGGCAAGTAACTGTGGGGTCTCTTTCAGGTTGGCCACTCATTCAGTCTCGCTGTTCAAGTCTCATCACAGCAGAACTGTCTAAGTGACAAACCGTTGGGTATATCTGTTCACGTAATTACGTCATCTGAGGTTTGTATGGAAAAAAATAAATTGAAAATATGAATTTCTTCCCATTAAAGCCTGGAATCTGCTGAAGCTAGATCCAGGGTTTCCCAGCCCAGGAGAGACTGGAAAGCTTCTGTAATGTGTGAAGAAGGACACCAGGGTCTTGTATTCTAGGGAAATGGGAACTCTATAACTTAAAGGGAGGAGTGACTTTCCATGCAACAGTACAGAAAATTTCCATTCTTTCATCCTTCAGTTAACTTGAAAGGTCATGTTTTCCTGATTTCTTTGGACACTTCTCTCCATGCTTTCTCCTAACTGGGAAGCTGCTGCACAGAATCATTTTGTGACCATAGCTTTACTATTGCTCTTGCATTCAGCATTGGCATGAAGCATGCAAATCTTCACTTTGGCCTTTGGTAAGAAGATGCAGAAGCAAGAGAGCACAGGCACTAGGCATAACCCTTATCTGATGACCACACCTGAAAGCATACCTAGTCTATCCCTTTGATTCTGTCTCCCTAGAAACATATTTAGGTCTGTTTTAGAAACAAGTGGGCTATGCATGAGGCCCAAGGTACTTCTTCCAAAGGTAAGTTTTCTGACTGCATTCTCTAATGCAGAGCACCAGCTGTTTTTTAATTAGCACAGACGTAAGAACTACAGTCTGTGCTTGGGAGAAAGCATAAGGAAGGTGATAACTGAAAAATATGTGTTTAGGTACCACCTTGCCTGAAACTTCCTGAACTACTTGCAGTCGATTCATGAAGTTGCATACATAGATGTTGTTCTTGTGAATAAGCTATGGATAACACCATTTTATTTTGTTCGGCAGTTGTTGTGGTGTAGAAGCCTGGGCACACCCCATCTGGGGTGCCCCACGCCCTTGTTGCCTTGGTGTCTCCCCTCTGCAGCCCTGTGAAGACCTGGGCCAGGCATCAGCCATGAAGATCCTGTACCTGCTCTTTCGAGGATCCTCTACCTGCTCTTCCCCTTCCTCCTCCTGTTGATCCAGGGTGCTGCAGGTGAGAAGGGAAGAGGGGAGATGGGTGAGGTGTGAACCCCCAAGAAGGGGGTCTTCCATGTCCCAGGATGTGACTGTATTTTTTAGAGATGCTCAAGGGATGGAATGGTTTTGTGGCTTTGCTCCAGCATAAAAAGTCATGCATTGGGATGCACCAAAGGATGCTTTCACACTGGCTCTTCCTCTGAGAATAGAGGGGCTGGTGTAGAGAGAGCCATCCAGTAATAAGAACTTGGCTTCTTCTGTGGGTTAGGGAGGGATCCAGCTCTGGGGTCCAACCTGGGCATTTAGCTGCTGCTCTGGGGGGCATCTCTGGACTGAAGTCTCAGCCTACGCAGCCTACCCTGTTCCTCAAAAAGTGGATGGGTGAAGTCTGCTGTCTAATCACAGATAGTTAACACCTTTTGTGGACCCCTAGATGTGTGCGATTCTGAGATAACAAAGCCCTCTACCCCAGGCTGGATGAGCCAGCCAAGGCTTTATGGATAAGCTGATCCTTCTGCAGGGGTGATGGGAGGACAGAAAATATTCCTTTGTACCACAAACAGCCAGGGATGCCTGTGCCCCAGGGGTTTAGCTGATAGTTCTTCTAGGAAGTTAACATACTATTGAAGGTGCAATTATGGTAATTTCAATACTTGGCCCACAAAGCAGAGTTGAAATCCTAGTGGAATGCCAGCCCTTCTGGAATTACAGAGTGTTCTCACAAATTATCTTTTCCTTTCAATTGTTTCTCTGTATAGGTGCATCTCTGGCTCCAGGAAATGAAGATCAATGTAAGCGAGAAGGGGGATTCTGTGGTTTTTTGACATGCTATCACCCTTATCACATCTTTGGAAGATGTTTAACATTTAAGGTTTGTTGCAAAAGGTAGGTTCTAAAGTCAGAATTCAGGAATTTGACTTCTGCTTTCTTGGTCTAAACAGATCTTCTGTTCTCTTTATACCCATGTTGCTGGATAACACCCTCCTGCCTTCATGTTGAGAGGCAGAGTCCGGGGATGGAGGGGTAAAGTCATCATAAAATCACAGAATGGTTTGGGTTGGAAGACACCTTAAATATCATCCAGTTCCAACCCCCTGCCATGGGCAGGGACACCTCCCACCAGCCCAGGTTGCTCAAAGCCTCATCCAGCCTGGCCTTGAACCCCTCCAGGGATGGGGCATCCACAGCTCCTCTGGGCAACCTGGGCCACTGCCTCACCACCCACACAGGAAAACATTTCTTCCCAATATTGGAGACAAAGAAGGAACATAAATAAATATCGTTGACCAAATATTGTGCTTGGTTTGTGCAGGAAATGGTGATGAATCCCTGGACTTTCCGAGCAGGACATTCCCCTCACTTCTGGCTACTGGAATCAGCTCCCGACATCCTGTCCCCTCCCTGCCTCTGTTGTCCCCAAGTGGTGTGACAGCAGGGGTGGAAGCCCTGCTCCTGCTGGGTGCTCATGGGCTGGAGGCATCCTGTCATGGGGCTGGTGTTATTTGGACAGTGGCTGCTTTTCCCTGCTTCAATAAAGACATGTGGTTTCACAGAACCACATGCTGAAGTTGGAAGAGACCTCTGGAGGTCGTCTGGTCCCATCCCCTGCGTGCCCTGAATTTGTGGTAAAGGACTCGCGCTGGAGCAGTGAGTGGAGAACTGCGGCCCGTGGGAAGGACTCATGTTGAAATAGTATTTCAAGGACCCTCCAGTGAGAGGGACCCCACGCTGGAGCAGGGACAGACTGTGAGGAGCCCTCCCCTGAGGAGGAAATAATGGAAGAGACAACATGGACAGACCCCAACCCCCATTCCCTGCCCTTGTGCCACTGGGGGGGGAGAAGACAGAGAAAAGGGGATCAAAGCCTTTGGGCCCAGGAAGAAGAGAGGGGTGGGGAGAGGTGCCTTCTGAAGATGCAGTTCTCTTTCTCATTATCTGGCTCAGTGTTTGTTTTTTAACAAATTAAATTGTGGTTTTTTTGTGTTTTCCCAAGTCAAGCCTGTTTCTTGCCCATAAGTGGTGACTGATCCCTCCCTGTCCTTGCCTCAGCCCATGAGGTTTTTTTTTTTTTAGCAAAAGGCTGCTGTGGTGCTTAGTTTGCCAGGTGGACTTAAACCACAACATGGAGAGAAAAGAACTGACATAAATTGTTGCACTATTGAAAAACAAAATAGGCTTACATCTCTCCTGGGATGCTCACAGGCATCTTCCAGACACCAGAAAACTGAGTCTCACATGCTGACATTTTAATGGATGGTGGATTTCTGGGTTTTTAGCTATTTTTATTTCTCTTTCCTCAATAAAATATTCCTGCAGAGTAAGAGAAAAAGGATTTTTGGCATCTGAACACATTCCCACAAAGGGAAGCTGAGTTCTTCCAGGCAGGCTATCTCTTGGTACTGGGGGGTAAGGTCTCCAGTCCATGTCTGTGTAGCCCTGGACAGTTGTGTGTCTCAGAAAATCTCAAATTAAGGAGCAGCTGGCGCTGTAAATTTTTGCCCTCCAGGGTTTGTGTGTCAAAACCCAGGTAGGATCATTGCCCCCAGCCTGGGCAACAGACACCCATGGTTCAGTGATGTGAATGCTGAGCAAAAACACTTTATTCAAAAGGAAGGAATGTAATGAAGAATACATTTGGATTTGCTGTACATCATAAAGCTTTTTGCACTAAAAATAAAAGATGCATGAGCCTTTGTGGCAGGATCCAGTGGTTTTAGCAGTAAAGGGATTCAAAGCAAATTCCTAGGTTTAGAGGAGATTTTCATCGCTCTTGAATGGATGGTCCAGGAAGTGTTTATAGATCCCATGGCCTGCACAAAGGGAAAAAAAAAAAAAAAGATTCAGATTCTCTTTCTGCTTGTATTGTCTCTCTAGTTACTCTCAGTCCATGCATATTTTCCTCTTGTATACAAATACTTCCCAAAATACCTAATGCCATGGGTAGTCGTGCTGGGGCAGCCCTGTGCACTCAGTGAGAAGAGTGTTTTCCTATTGCTTCAGGAAAAGCAGGGAATTAAATTGATATCCCTTGATACTGGGGTGAATGTATTCATTCCTGAGTGAAAATAAAAGTCTGCCTTTCATGGGATAATTTCTTTTTACAACACCGTTGCACTTTTTGCACACATCTGATGGCACTCGGAGATCTGCGTTCACCCTGCAGCGTCACTGAATCCCCTCAGTTCCCCATACAGCACAGCAGCCCAGTTCTGCAAATACCAAACCCTGATATTTTGCTCTGACACAGGAGCTGTAAAGGGGTCAAACAGAGCCGGGACAGCACAAGGCTGACATCTCCACCTGTATTTTATCCTTCTTGCTCGGGTAGATGATGGTGCACATCTTGGGAGAAAGAGCAGTGTGGAGCTCAACCTACTTCAACGCTGGACTGCCCTCATGGCTTAATAGGGGTTTTTTTTTCATTATATCCAATCTGAACATACAATAGCACCTTGGGGCTAAGGATACAGACAAAATAGATTTGTTTGCTCATAGTGCAGGTAAGCCTTGGTGAATGTCAAACTCACGCTTTGCAGCAGGAGCGGAACCCAAAGCAGCTTCCGACTTTAACCAGATGAATGGGACACCTTCCAAAGTGACAGGACCCTTTTCTGCAGAAAAACATGTCCCTCCGGGGTGAAGACAAACCTGCAACAATAACAAAAAATTTCCTTCTCTCTCATTCTGCCAGGCAGGGTAACGCAGTTGTAATGACAGTAAGGCTTCCTGTTCGTTGAGCTGCCTTCACCCACCATCTTGCCTTAAGGACTCGCACGGATTTGTCTGTGTTGAAAGACCATGTAAAAGGTGAGATTACAAAGCAGGTCTGCACCTTGCAGAGGTGGGATCCTTAGCTCACAGTGCACCTAAATGGATGGCCTTAAAGTCCAGGGGGAGAATGATACAGACCCCCTGGGTCATTGTCCTTTACCTTCTGGAGAAGGATCACAGGTCCAGAAGATTTAACACTGGCTCCTAGCCAAAAATGTTTACCCAGGCTTGATTTTCTTCTGCATATACACTGCTGAGTGTGCTGGTATCCAAAGATCATGGCCACAGCCGACACCATCTCAGGTGTCTAAGAGCAGATCTTTTTAGGAAGACACCAGAAGTGGAAAGTGGCGTTTCTTCACAAGTCATAATTTCTTCACTTCTGCAAGAGTTGTCGTAGGGGAGCACAGGCACTGAGCTATTGGTCTAACTTCTGCTCAATTTCTAGCAATTTTAACTACTACTGGTTAAAATGAGCTGGGAAGTTTACTCCAGGTGCACAAAAATCCCTTTCTAGCATCTCTTTTCCCTCTTACCTGGAGAAACCTGGAGTGCCAAGAAGAGGAGAGAAAAGAGCAGGTAAAGGATCTTCATGACTGTGGAGTTGCTGTGTCACTGTGGGAAAAAGGACAAGGAAGATGTATGACAGACTATCCCAGGGATTTACAGTCTTCTGAACTGCACAAATCCTGTGTTCATAATCAAAAGAGCATCTGTAGTTCGTTTTTCTTCAAACTTTCAAAAATAGCCACTAAGACCCATATGACATCCTGACTGCTATATGAGCCTTTCTGGGAAATGTAAATATATATGGGGCAACATGCTTTCAGGATATGTCATCATTAAGTTATTTTAATAGTTTGATTACTCAGATTTCTTTCACATTTTGCAAATATTCCTCAGCCAAAATACAGTCATGACTTTAATTTTAGTTAAATGTTTTATCTAATAAATCATAGAATCATTAAAGTTGGAAAAGACCTCAAGGAACAAGGAATAACCAACACAAAGCAAAACGAGGTGATTATAGAGTCAAACTGACAAACTCCAGGAAAAAAGAAGTTAATTTTGCAATGTTAAAATTAATCAAGAAATAACAGCTAAAATCAACCTGCTCAAAATCTTTAGTCTTAGGTCTACAAACAACAGTTCTAGAATGGAAATGTACAACCAAATCAGTTCCCATTTGACAAATGAAATTTGAAAAGCAAACATGTAATGCCTTCATTGAAAGAGTTAATAATTAATGGAACCAGTATCAGCAAGATGGGATAAGATAGTCTACAAGGGGGCTTAAGGATAAAGAAGAGGTAGTTACTGTCATATATCTTGGCTTTAGAGAATCTTCAGATCTGTTACAAATTATTTTCTTTTAAGCAAGGCAGGGAAATGAGGTTGTGCTGAAATGTCGAGTTTCTGCAAATGAAGTGGTAGAGGGTGGCCAAAACCAGCTTTGAAATTAGTATTAGTTTACACAAATTTTTATATACTTGTAAATATCAAGAGAAACAAGTTAACAATTCTGAAAACAAAATAAAGTTTTAACATAGAGACATAGATAACAGATGTATACTGGTTTCTATCAAAGACACCACCGATTTCTCTGCACCACAGACCTCTCTGAAGTAAGCTGACCCAGCCACATTTCTTTCTAGAAGTCACCAAGCAGAGTATCTTTATCAAAGTATTCTAGACATTAGCACATATTTAAAAAACTTATTCAACCTCTGCAATTTCTGGAAAACTTAGGTTAACCTTTTTTGAGTAACCTACAAATTTAGGTCAATAACGCAGAAGTTTGGGGTTTGGGGTTGGTTTTTTTTTTTGGAGGGGGGAAGGTGAGGAAAGACTTTGAAAGAAAGACTGAAAAGAACTGAGAAGTTACCAGGGTATCAGGTGAGCTCAGAAGACCTGCTCTTGGTCCCTTCCCTCCAGAGGGCTTTGGCTGTGGGGCTGAGACCCTCTTTTATAACATGTTTCCTAAGGGGAGTGCCAACTGCTTTCTCTTCCCAGCAAGTACACATCAAGCCAATCAAAAAATTTCCCGGTTTTTTTAGTGACTTCTAATCCAACCAGAATCAAGTTGCTTTTCATTTCCCAGTGCAAAAGCGGGGTTTCTCTCTGAACCTATTTTCTTCTGGAAAAGCCCAGGTTCTTCACGCAATACCTCTTGTGACACCCCAGTTTGTGTAAGACACGTTAAGCCACCGTGGTGTGTGTCAAACCTCTTGGGATGTTCGTTGAACTGTTCCTATGAAGGAGCAACAGAATCCTTTGCAATACTGTCACGGATGAAATGTCTCACACGGTTACGATTTAGCAACAATTGAAGCTTTATTAATGGTGGGACGTAAATTAATGGTGGGACGTAAATTAAAGTTTTTTTAGCAGCTTTTAATGGTTGATTAATTTAGAGCAAATACAATGCACTGGCGTTCTCCAGTGGACAATGCTTGAGCCTCGAGAAGTAGAACTTCCCCCTGGCCTGTTGTGGCCTTTGCTGGCAGATGGTCCTTAGACCTTGTTGGTCCTGAGAGTTGTCCCAGCTCAGGGGAGATGCTGGCCACAGCCCACTGCAACCCAGGAGAGCTCAAAGGGTCTCCCTTAGGGTCGCTATTTATAGGGTCTGAGATAATTGGCTTTTGTCAGGTCCTTTTCCATTTTGCCCCCCCCCCCAGTCTTGGATGATGTCATATTCTGGTGTGTTTCAGAAGGTATCCAAGTGTGCCATCCTTCTTAGGCATAGATCCATGATCCAGGAGGGGAAGAATCGCACCAGGCACCGAGTGACCCAGGAGGTGATGGGGTTACACCACCACAAACGCAAGACATCTGCATGCTTCTCTGCACTCCCAATTAGTTTATTTTCTGTTCCATAAATACAGGATATAAGAATGGAGAATTGACATATGAAACTAAACCAAATGTCGTGCGGCTTGGTGGCCAGTGGCCACTAAGGATGCCAAAGTAAAGACCATGAAATGCACAGAAATAGGGTGAGTGCATCTGGTTATATCCCGGTACACCCTCCAGCTGATGGAAAATAAATCAATTTAGGGAAATCCAGTGTCTCTGGACCCTCAGGCTGCAGAGATCCTGGTTGAGCATTTTTCCGTGACTGTGATCATAGAATCATAGAATGGTTAGGGCTGGAAAGGACATTAAATATCATTGACTTCCAACCCCCCTGCCTTTCCTATCTACAGATCTTTCATTGCACCAAGTCACTTGCTGACATACCCAATAACTATCCAAAGTTACCAATACTAAGTACCTTTTTCAGATCATATTTTATTTTAGACTTCACTTCAGTCAGCAAACTAACACTGTTCATGCAATATTTTAATATGACACCTGAAGTACATCATAATAAGTTATGATACATAACCTATTGCTACTTTCAGATATTAGAGTTTCTAATTGACCAAGACCTTTGCAAATTGCACCATGCCTTACAGATCATTTAGTATCAACACTAAACTATTTTAATTGCTTATTGGTTCCTCCATTTAGTTACTAGTGATGTGATTTTTTTCAATACTTTGATATCAATTTCTGAAGTACAGAAGTGTACACACGTGCATACAGACACACATAGATACATACTCATGTAAAAACATGCCTACTAATTATTTCCCTTCAATGCCTACCCTGATAATTGAGATAGATAGCTTTTTATTTTCTACATATTTTTATAAGTGAACTGTATTGCAGCAGCAAAAAAAAAAAAAGATAGTTGAGTTTCTGGCGTGTCTACGAACTTTGGGCCATAAAGCAGAAAATAGAGGGAATAAAATTAAAAAAGTTACAGTTACTTCACAACTTGCCAAGAGTTTGTGGTCAGCTTGCCTACCAACTGTTACTGTTACTCAACCTGATTCCTCAAGGAAACAAAGACACATCATAAACTTTTACCATGTCCAAAGTCCTACGTGCAGGTAATGTCAAGGACTTGCCTTTAACGCTGAGCATCCTTGACAGTGATTATTATGAATGCTATGTGGTCACTCCCACTGTTACCATCAAAATGTCTCTGCCTGAAGATGGGAAGAGGAGGGGTAATAGATTCAAATTGGAAGAGGGCAGATTTAGACGAGATGTTAGAAAGAAATTGTTTCCTGCGAGGGTGGTGAGGCAGTGGCCCAGGTTGCCCAGAGAAGCTGTGGATGCCCCATCCCTGGAGGGGTTCAAGGCCAGGCTGGATGAGGCTTTGGGCAACCTGGGCTGGTGGGAGGTGTCCCTGCCCATGGCAGGGGGTGGGAACTTGATGATCTCTAGGGTCCTTTCCAACCCAAACCATTCCGTGATTCTATAAGCAGAGGAGTGATGGAGCACCTTTGGTTGTCCAAAGCTCAGAGCAGTGAGGCAGGCTTTATCAAGATTTCAGTTTGTGGCTCTTGGCATGGAAAACGTTTCCATCCCTGCCTGCAGCTCCTGATCTTATGAGCAGGAGACAGTTTTATACATCAGGAGGGACATATCACTGTTTTGCCCTTCATAATCTCAGCGTTTTTCTCTAGTGCCTTTTGCTGGTAGACCTGACTGACACCAGGATCGTAGTAGCACCAACTGCACGTTCCTTTACCCAGGTTATCTGGATAGGAAAGTCCATGGGATCCAGTCCAGACCAGCTGGGCAGCACCTCACAATCATTTGACTCTTGACACAAGGTAAGGAATTCTTTCTACCCAAAACACCATCTAATTTCCCTCTATTTTCAGTGCAGGGGGAAAGAGAGTCTTCATGGAGTGTCCTTCTATTTAAATAGCATGTTTCTTTTGTTTTCTTGTTTCATCAAAGTTCAGAAGATGATCCAGTTGTGTTTCTCTCAGTCTTCACACCAACTTCTTCAATTTGGAGTTAACCAATGATACCCCCACCCATTTCAGGTCCAGACCATCCAGTCTTCTTTAGAGGAGGAGAATATTATGACGGGGTCAGCATCTTATGTGATAATATAGTGCTTAAAGCCAGACCCAAGAACTGATAGATGGAGCCTCAAATGCTGCTCTGCCTGATGCAGGTGGGATGGACTGTTAAGGGAAATGCCTTCACAATGAGGCTGCAGAGTGTTGTGAGGAGAAATGGCTTTCACCCTTTTCAAATCCAGATGTTTGGAGAATTGTGCCAAGATCACTTCCCAGAGGGGAAGGAGGATCATACCTCCCTCTTAGGTAATTCAGACCTCCTAGAAATTCAGGCTCCCCTAGCTTAGCTGCAAAAGCTGTCAGCAGCAGTTGAACTGCCAAAGTAGATCCACCAAAAGGAGGATAACCAGTATTTAGATGTTGTTCTATACTCATAAGGGAATTTGCAAAGCATGTACTACATTATAGTTAACAGATAGTGTTTTGACCCAAGTATAGATCAATTGGATCAATAATGAGTGGATACACAGTCATAAACTTCAAACATTACACAAAAAATATTTAGTGGAGCTCAAGACTTTAATGATTACGTAGTTATCTTGAGTAACAAGGGAGAAATGATGAGATTAACATCTGTATGAACCAATGTGGCCTCCATCTTATTTTTGACTTGACTGCTAATTGAAGGTATCAGGGTACCAGTGCAGAGTCCAGCCTCTTGCTGTA